ATTTATAAATTCGTTTTGACTAAGAATATTTTCGCGAGAGTGTTGCACGACGGTCCTGGAATGGTGAACTCTTTTCTGAAGCTCCTCATATTTCAGCTCTTAATCTGAAATCAGTTCTTTTCAAGGATATCACTTGTAACAAAGTACAAATGTATACAGCCAAAGCGTCTGTGAATTCTCCGGGTACTTGTCTCGAGTGTACATGCCTTCTCCGATTTATTGGGTCTGTTTTCTCATACTAGGAATTTTTTTTATGTGAAACTTGAGGATTTAGAACGTCGCTTGTAGGCAACGTCAAGTCCGAGGGATAGTAATACAAAGGTGTAGAATATACATGAAACAGAAAAATGCTGCTAAATCAGGTGTGATTGTATTAATTTGTTTTCGGTAAAAACGGAAACATACCAACATAAAATAGGTAATTGTTTATTTTTCAGTAAATGGTATTTTTGGTAAAAAATTCAAAAATGCTATATCAACTTCATGAATATTAAAAATTTGTATCTTAAACCTGCAACCTCCATCCATGTAGGTATAGTAGAGTGAATTTAACGCTTTTCCTGAATCTTAAAGATTGGAATAGAGAATATCTATTACTTGCTGATGAGTCCTAATAAGGATGAAACCTAAGTAGGTAAGTAAAATCAAAGTTAGAGCGTTAACATTAATTTCTAAATCTTTCCTTAGGTGTAGCTGTTTTCCGAAGGGAAACAGTTGCTAGATTTTTGTGACACATGGCTTAGAGATATTCTTGTTTTCAGTTATATTACGTTTTAGTAATATTTGAATTTGGAATTATTTTCCTTAACTGTAGCTTCACGATCTTCTATTCTACTGATGCATAAAAACCAAATGAAATCAGAAAATTTAAAAATATGCTTGTAAACCATTTACTAGAATTACCCCTATAAATAAAAGCAATACTTGTAGATATAGTTTTTGTTATTATTCTCCTTAGAACGAGTATAACTTAGTGTAACGTAATTTAATTTAAAATTCTATGTAATTAGGCCCATTGGCTTTTTGGAATAAAATAAAGAATCTAAAATAAATTTGGATCTTCTCTCTTAAGCTTACACATGTAAAAATATTTACACCCATTACCTCTTAAGAATGCCTATGTAAAAAAAATGGTTCATATATTCTTTAAGCCTGCTTATGTCAAAATATTTGCTTCCTTTAGCACTTAGGCCAATTACCCATAAAGTCTGCTCATGTAAAATTATTAAAAGTATTTAAACCTTTTATTCCTTAAGTCTATCGTTATAAATAGTAGTATGTGCAAGAAGAGTGGACAATCCACTCCAGTTGTACAGTATATTTTTTCTATGATCCACTAACGAAAATCTATAATTAAAAAAAAATTATTTTGGGTTAATAATTTTAAATAATTAATTTTAAAATAATATATGAATTATACTAGTTTATAAAATAAACATGAAAAAATCCACAGTCCAGATTCGAAACCGGACATTTCGTTTCATATAGTTTAATTAAAATTTATTTATTTTTTTCAAAATGGGAACCAAATAAATATAAAAATGTTGTTATTTATCGATTCTACACAAAAATAACTCATTTTTATGTATATTTAATCTCAATAACTGAACAATATGCTGACAATTAGTTTGACAGAATTGTCACTTATTTAAAATTTTAAAAATAATAGTAGTTGGGTATCCAAAATATGAACTGTGATTGCAGTGTTCTCACTACCTACAATGGATATGAAATATATTCGTCCAGTTGGACGCAATAGCATATTTTTCGTTTTGTAGTTTGTGTGTAGATGAGCTAATATCCATGTGGGCAAAGAAATATTTTAATATAAAAACTACTTCTTACCTACAAATCCAAATCAGAATCGAAATCAGAAGATGAACTGTCGCAACCAATATTTACAATGAGTGGCTCGATCATTTCATCAGTAATATTGTCCAACTTCCACATTTTCTCTTCTTCTTTAATCGTATGATTTATTGCCTTTTCCCAGTTTTCAGGCTTTACATTATTTACAGCCTCCAAAAACAACTGTTTAACATCACTCATTTTAAAAGAATTATTTTTTCTTGAAACTTCTCCCTTTATCTGTGCCCATATCAGTTCAATCGGGTTTACTTCGCAATGATATGGTGGTGATCTAACCACCGTCATCCCACGATTTTTTGCAATTTCATCAATTTCATATTTTTTGAATTTCTCTTTATGAAGGGAACACAAATGATACAGTTCTTTTCTCACAGAACCGGGATGGAATTTAATATTCTTTGAATTTAGCCAATTCTGTAAATCTTTTTTTAACCACTTGGATGTGGGCATTTTTTCTATAAGTCTCGAGTGATAACTTGCATTAACCATTACTATTATACAGTTCTGAGGAAGAAGATCTATAATTTGTCCGAACCACTCTTTAAAGACATCAGCATTCATGTCTTCATGGTAGTCACCGGTACGAGTAGATTCAAAAGTCAATAAACCACCTTTAACAAAACCGTTTTAACTACCGATGTGTACTATTATTAGTCTGCGCCCCTTTCCTGATGGTGGATTTAAACCAGTAGATAAATTATTTAAAAAAGCCTGTCTTCGACTTGTAACAGTTTCATCTTGCCAAAATTTATTTGGTTTATGTCCCTCGTTGATCCATGTTTCATCTAAATAAAATATATTTCTTCTTTGGTTTCTCATTTCTTTTATAGTCCTTAGGTAATTTCTTCTCCATACTATAATATCGCTTCTTTCTATTAAAATAGACTTTCTGTAATGCTTTTTCTATAGAAAACCTATTTCTTTTAAAAGTTTCCATAGTGTGCTTTGACTCATTTCAGGGTAATCCTTATCATCTCGAACCGTGGCAAGAACTTTGTCTACTGTCGGAAATTCTTTCAAAAGATTTTCTAATTGAAATTTTGGTTTTCCTGGAGCTTTACGTGCTGTTTGAAACTCGCCACATGTCTCTTCTTTAACAACTCTGTAAGACGTAGATTTCCCAACACCAAGCGTACTACTAACTAATTCCACTGTGTCATCAACACTTTTACATAAATGTTTGTCTGTAAATGATTTAAAACAATTAAATATTAATGTTTTTTCATTAACTGTTAAAGGACCGATTTTTTGTCGTTCACGCGGCCCTTCCAAATTTTCCATGATCACACTAGAATGCACACTGCACCTTGCAAGTTGCAACTAAACGACATTTAGTAAACTGTCAAGAAAACACAACTTGGACCTCCTTACTAAATGGAAAACCTATAATCGCATTTTCGGTGAAATTTGTTGGGAAGGTATTTATCTACTTATAATTCGATTACTGTAAGAAATTCTTGGAATTAAAATAAAACAAAATTGGCAAATAGGTACTTATTGAAAATAATCTTAAGATACGGCCATGTAATCTTTAATACACAGGGCTTTTGGCCTGTCCAAACCTTTTTCTATTGTTATGTACAGCTTATGTTTATAAAGGACCAATAAAAGACCCAAAACTTGTAATAGCTCAGGTACATTTATTACAATTTTAGGAAATATTTAGATTATTCTGTAAAAATATTTAAAATGACCGTACTAAGTTTTGCATTAGAAATGCTGTTTTATTACTCTCACATACATAAAAATAGACTATAACAACAAATTATCGACCCAGCCCAACACTTTAGTAATATAGCTATCTCACTTTTTGGAAAATAAACCCGCCAAAATGAATATAAGTTCCGACCCGCTCCTACTCACGGATGCTTCTGCCTCGCACTTGCATAGGTCCGTTTAAAATTTGTTACATATGATACCGTCTCCCTTCACAAGCAGATTTGATATAAATCATGGCACCTTTCCAAAACAATCACAAGACATTGTCAAGGACAAGCTTTTTAGGCTCAAAACAGAAAGATATTTTTTAATTGAAAACAATTTTAACTTCTAAGCGAAACAGTCCCTAATTTAAAATTAAAACAAATGCTATATATTTACAAGATTTTTAAACCCGGCATGTTTTGTGTCCAGTTTATTATGTAAAACATTTTCACCAATCAACTGTTTGTTAAGTGGTTGTTATATTGAGTTCAAAGTTTAAGAAGATAAAATAAAGCTAGTTATTGTTATGAAATTCTTAAAGCCTACCCTGTGTACGCTCGACCTTCACATTGCAACCGACTCGTGCTCGAGGCGACGGAATGTTCTGGGAATGCCGCTGAGGCTCGAGAAACAGCTGGAACGGCGAATAGTGTCGTTTAGTCATAGGAATGGAATGTTCGAGACGACCGTCGAGAGCCTCTAGCATTTTCCAGTAGCGGAGTTGGACTAATATAAATAGCCGACGTATCAGCGCTGAGTTTAGTTTAATATAGAACGTTGTATTGAAAAGTTAAAGTGTAAGAGATAAATTAGAATTGTTAGTTAGTGTCTAAATATTATATAAATTAAATAGTACGTCTGAAATAAATTGTAAATAGTGTTTTTAAATAAATAAACTTTAAATAAATTAGACTTTCGTCACATTATTATTAAAAGCAAGGTACTTTAATTTCCATATTATTCACACCTTTAATCAAGCATAAATACATTCTACAAGAGTCATTTAGTTATCTACAGTCCACGTTTTACTTAATACGAGGGAACCTAACACAGAGTACCACGGTATTTTGAGAAAAAAACATCGATCTGTGACAAATTCGATTCTCGACCATAGAAAAAATAAAGTTCTCGACTGTTTTGAAGGGTTGAAATCCACAGATTGCTTACCCAATTATGAGTAAAGTTATTTCCTTTAGGAGGATTTTTATAATACAACCCATCTGACATATTGTACTGCAAATGGATTTTTAAAATTTTGTAAACACAATTATTACTTCCTGCAATTTACGATGTGAATGTATAGATACGCTGCCTTGTAAATTTAAGTCTAGAGCGCCCATGTTGTGAGGGATAAAATATGTCGGGAAGTTTTTCTGTGCGAAGGTACGTACATACAAGAGTTTGTAAAGAGATGTGTGCTATTTATCATGCAGATTATTATGATAGCAAGTTATGATACATTAGGTAAGCTTCACTGAGAAGCAGAATCCGATTTATATCCGACTTGGCATAAAATAAGAAACCGTTAATTTATAACATGAAGGCTAAACGCATTTATATACGGTGTAAGTTTCTGTCAAGTGTCAACGTTCATATTTATTTAAAAAAATAAAATATGTGTAAATGAAATGAAAAAAATAAAGAAGAGTAACAATTTTATGGATGGATGTTTTATAAAATAAGCCCGTTATTCTGTGTATCAACATAATAACTGTTATTTTTTCATGGAATTTGATAACATAATAAATAATTATTGTGCACCTACAACATACATATCTATAGATATGTATAATAACCTTGAATAAAGTTAATGACATCCAGTCTCGCGGAGGAAGATCATTTGCCAAAAAGTCATAAATATTCTCTTTTTTTAATCTAAAAACACGACCCATGTCCTTTTTAGATGGTATGGTTCGTTGTTCTGTGGGACGCAATATATAAATAGTTTCACAAATAGAAATTGACCAATATAAATTATCTGGGCATTTTTTTCAAATAACATCACGATACCGCACAAAATATTCAAAATGGATCATAAATTAATTCTAGAGATTATATTATAACATCTTTAGTTTTTGATTTATTTATTTATTTCTGTTAGAATAGTTCATTTTTTTTATAGATTTGTCTACTAATTTTTTTTGTAGACGAAATGAAATGAAAATAAAAAACATAACAACATAAATAAAAGATGGAAACACGGCTAGATACGAGTAAAGCTCAAGAGGCAAGAAAGCTACATTATTGACTGCTTAATCTAAAAATAAATTTGTAATTGTCAAAAAGCAGTGCCGTACCATAATTTTATCTATAAGTATCAAGTAGGTAGCCCCTAAGACACCACTAGAATTAATAAATTTATTTTATTTTCACCAAAGGAAGGCCCTTATGACTACAAATAAGCCTACCAAATTTTATTTAAATCGGTCGAAAGGTTTTTGAGTAATTGATAAAAAACATATTTTTTTAAAAAACTTTGGCTGGTAAATACGCCCTTAAAATCTTTGAACTCAATTTTGAATCACCCTGTAGTGTGCGACATGTGTCACTTTTCTAAGTGGTCGTAGGAAAAATATTTTCAACCTTCTACTTTGCTTTTGCTTACTAAGGAGACGTTATTCTTGGACCAGTTTCATCCTTATTAGACTCGTCAGCAAGAAATAAACATTCTCGATTCATAAAATTTAGCATATTCCTGGATGGTAGTCGAGAGAGATAAGGAAGTCAGAAAATAGTTCCAACAACACTTAGTAAGCAAAATTTAAGCTCACTAGTAGTAATCAGTTCAGAAAATAGGCAGAATTAAAGCAGGCTGGGTAATTCCTAAAAAGATAAATTATTTCAATAATAATAATTTTCTATCTCTGCCCAGAGGAGTAGTTGTTTTCCTAAGGTAAAAAATCGCTCGTATTATTTTGTGACATAATAACATGTTTCTTATTATTCTTTTTTTACGTCTTTATCACATATGAGTTTGTAATTATTTTCTTTTTTTTTAAATTAATGAATATTACAGAGGTATCATTAATATCTCCAATTCCAAAACTTTTTTGATATTTTAATTAAAAAACAAAAGTAACACCATAATATTTCTAAAATGTCTTTCAAATTTTTTTGTACTCAGATATTCAGTGGAAACGATGTATATGTATATGACTTTTATAATTTGCAAAAACACATAATTATCTTTTGTTTTTATAATTTACAGGTTCCAAATCTATTAGCCCAAAGGACAATATAAACCAGTGGAACATTGTGCAGGTTGGTTCTCAACCCGGTCACCAAAGTGGAGAACAAGCCATTTCTCCAGGTTTCGTATGGGTTCAAGTTCCGGTAGGTAATTTGGCCGTGGTTGGAAGTACACAAATGTCACAGTCGCCAAAACAAAATACAGGTAAAAATATGTGCTCAAATATGAATATCTAAATAAAGTATATCAGTATCAGTAGATTAGTAGAAATTATTACAATAAAAATATGTGCTCAAATATTATATAAACGAAGTGTTTTAGACGTGTTTTTCTTTCCAGTGATGGCGTTTACCTAATTTACTTTGGATATTAAAGGAAGTCGACAATGGACTATGACAGTCAAAGTTTTTATTACTCCATTTTAAACTTTACCATTAATAAAGTACTTTAGAAAAATTTTGCAGTTCAGATATCACTGGAGGCCGAATAATTGTTAAAGTTGAAAATTTTGTGACACCTTTGTCTCGTGATGTTTACCAGTAAATTCAGAAAATTTCAATTTTGTTGCCATATGTCCACTTTTATTTTCCTATTAGTCCCATATTTCTATATTTATTGTAGGAGGCAGTGGCGTAGCCAAACATTTTTTATGGGAGGGGTTTCTGAGAACTATGGGGGGGTTCTATAAAGAAAGTGAATAAAAACAGTCAATAGCGATCAGCGCCAATACTATAGAGGAAATGGCGACGCAAGGACCCTCCATGGGGGTTCTGACCCACCCCCAAAACCCCCCGTGGCTACGCCACTGGTAGGAAGAGTGAAATAGAAAAATAATTAAGTGCCTGTTCTTTTAACAATTCTGGACAATGCATTAAGTGGTGTTTCAACAAAACAAAAATGGTAGCATCGACTAAAAATTTACTAATAGAATATTTTAAAATGTTTGTATTTAGCGATGTGTATTATAAATAATAATATCTATAATAAAAATTCCAAGTTTTTTTAATTCGACAGGCAGTAATAGTATATTACACACCGAGGTGGGAAGAGTTTCATTCCTGTCGTGAGATTAGTTAGATCACCGAGACGCGAAGCGTCGAGGTTAGCTATGATCTCGAGACAGGAATGAAACTTCCTACCGAGGTTTGTATACTATTTTATTTACAACCATCATATTTCGATCAAAGTTAATAAATCTGTTTCGTTCTGAACATACCTAAAATATTACATTTAACGACAAATTGCCAAGCGCGCGGTTTTCTCAGAATAATCAAGTAAATATATTGTTACTGTGATTACGGGGTAAACAACTGTCACCAATATAAATAAATGTCAGATAAAGCCGGATATTAAATTCGCGAATAATAAATATCAATAAGTAGTTTGTTGTATTTTAGTTCATTGTTGTTTTTTATTGTTTGCCATTAAATAGGTATTATAAAATTTGTCAAAAAAATGTGTTATTTTATTTAAATATAAAAAATATTCATCTAGAATAGATGAAATGAGGGCGGGAAGTAGAGTTGTGTAATGTGACACTTCCCAACCTTCAATGACGTTAGTAATGACAGTTTTACATATATGGTTGTAAATAAAATTGGTTACAATCCTATATAAACAGCTTGATTGCATTAATGTGGTACTATGCGCATTTAATAAAATAATTGCAACATCATATTCCCTAATAAACCAAATATCATAAACTTCCTATATGTATATGTCAGTTTGAAACTAAAATTAATTCATACAATTCTGTATTATATTCCTATTTCTGGATCGTTTGTAATTATTTTAACATGAATCGTGGATTTATGAAAGCAGATTCAGCTAATATAAAAACATCCACAAACGTCAAATAAGAATTGACAGAATAAAAAATTCTTGTTATTTTTGTTCATTTATTTCCGAATCAAAAGACAGGCGCCTAATTACATGTTTTTATAAATACAACAAAAATAGTAATCGACAAAAGTACATAGTATCTGAGTTATAATAAACATCACTACTACAAAGTTATTAATAAAATTCATTCTAAAACGAAAATACTAAAATCAGAAATAATCAGAGCACTAGCAAACACATACCAACACCACGAAAATCAAGTCATGTCACTTTGATCGAGGACAACAATTATTTTAAATTCTTTTCTATAGTGCCTATAGCTGCATCAAAAATACCACAAGAAATTCTTTCGGAGTGTATGTTAAACAAAAGACATTTTTTTTCTAATGGACTATGATTATCCGCACAAAAAGTGACGGGGGCTAATGACCCAATAAATATAGACTATTAAATTATCCATTTAACAATTTATGTAAAAAGACGAGGTTGATTATTTAAGGCCTATGTTCTTCAATTTTAAAAACTTATACAAGCCTTGGACTTTTTTAAGTATAAATATTGGATAAATTTATTTTGAATAGTTACCAAAATTTGTTTTAAAATATTATCAATTTTAACTTTACCGATGTATCATACTCAATATTTTTACACAGCTTATAAAACAACAAAATGTTATTTAGTTTGTGCGCTTTTAGAGCAATGAATTTTACTCTAAACCATTCATAAAAATAGTAAAATTCGCTCAGTGCAAAGTCATGGTAGGGGAAGCAAATCGATAGTAGCGCTAGCTGCGGATAATTCTTTCATTATAGGGCCATATTTTGTAATTTTGACATATCAAATGTATACATTTTATTTTTTTTTTTAAGTAGGTAAAAAGAATACAATAAGCAACCGGAGTTGCTGTATTGATTGAAAAATGAAAAAATACTAGCAAAAAAAAACAGTGTAAATTATAAAAATTTTCAGTAGCAAAGTGGAAATTAAATCAAAGAAATAAATGGATAAAAAGAGAAATCACCTTTATTTTTCAATAATAACTGTAATACTGGAAATAGTATACATCAGAAACTTGAAAGGTTTTAAATAAACAATAAATTATCATTTCACGATATTCTTCAACGTCCCTTTAATCTTAAATGTTCAGCAAGAACTAGATTTCTGCCTTTGATTACTGTTATTATGTGGCCGGAATGCAATTTTGTGACTTACTGATAAGAAACCAATTTTAATCAATCTTGCTATGTTTTTTTTTCGAACAAAAATGAAAATATAAATAACAATCCTTTTGTTTAAACATTTTAACTTTACGCTATTATCTAATTGTATTTTTTATTTTGACAGAATAGGTAAATCTTCAAAGATAACTTATTAGACTCGGGCAACTTCTCATACATTTTTCCGTAAATACTGTTGCCTGCCTATATTTTATTATTGATTATACTTAATTTTTTTTAGTGTAAGCGATAAAAATATACAATAATAATAATAATAAATTAATGTTTTACAGGTTTTACAAATCCATATACTTTTATTAAAACTAACATGTATACTTTTTAATTACGAATTCTATTAAAATAAAAACTGTATTGTCAGTATACGCAAAAATAGTCCGTTAGTACATAAATTAATTTGCGCTACTGTCACGAACGGAGCGAATATGACTCCACCACATTATAATTGCATACCTACCTCAATTAGTATTTTTAAATTGTTGGATAGGAAACAGAGAACCTAATAAATGACTTGCACGTTCACCAGATCTGAGAGCTTAAGGCCTTTCCTATTAAAAAATTATGTTTATGATAATTTATGAAGTAATTTACACATTGCGAGAAGAAAACACAAATTATTTAAAAATATTCGGCACAAAAGTGTTTTAAAATTGACCGAATAAATCCAAAAACTATTAGAACCTTCTGCGATCATTATTAAAAAAGTTAGTTTACTTCAAAGTTTATTCCAAATCAGCATATATCGACTGTTTAAAAAAATTGATTTTTTTTTTTAATATTTTTCTGTTCACAAAACGAATTTTTTTTAGATGGAAATTTAAACAACTTATGTTTAAAGCCAACTGGTCAATTTCCCAGTAAATCATGTAATAAATTTGTTAACTGTTGGAATGGTGTTGCCACTGAACAGGAGTGTCCTGATGGATTAGTATTTAGTCAAAAAGGATACTGCGATTATCAAGAACATGTTGATTGTGATGGAAAATTAATCGAAGGTAAGAAGGGGTGGCAGGTTTCATTTTTCAGTGGGGTTTAAGGTGCATAGGTTATTATAATAGCAATAACATTACCTAATTCAAAAATGAGTGCGAGTTAAACTCGCACATTTGCGAGAGAAATAGGCAAGTGACTGTCCCAAACGCAAAGCCAATAGGTATCAATTAGTGGTTGATGACCCACAAACTATGAAAATATTTTAGCCAACATGGTCATCTCCCCATCAGTCGCATTAAAGGGCCATCAGTTATCCGGAAGTCGATTGATGCTGGGATTTTTAGGCTTTTTACAAAAATTTATTCAAAAAATTATTCAGTGTAGTACTTCGACATCAACTAGAATTTCCTTCAAACATTGTAGCCTATTTTTTAAATTGTACCAGGTTGCTTGTTCTATTTTTAATAACTTCAGGGATGCTTTTATGTCACCTAATATTTTTTTCTTTTTTTGTTAGTAGGCGTCCTCACTTGTTTGGTCACGCGGTACATTTGTTTAAAAAAATATATTATAAATTTTGAAGTAAATCCAACTTTATCAAGCACCCTATACATTTATCTTAATATAACAGTTTTTCGGACGCTTTTTTAATATTTAAAAATTTCTAAGACTTATTTTTTTATAGCATCTTCAACATCTTCACCTGGAGTTTCTATACCTCCTGCAACAATTTCTTCATCGGAGCCTACATCAACAAACAATACAACCGAGTCAACCACAACATCATCACTACCAAGTACAACATCCATTGTTGTCACTTTACCACCAGGTAATAAAATAAATAATATAACATTTACAGATTATCTGTTTTAAAAATAAATCGAAACAAGTGTCAAAATGATCTAAAAGTTCAACTCTTATTTGGTGTTTGATATTTACCATTTTTCAGTTGACCCCTCCTTAAAAAAGCTGTGCCTAACACCAAGAGGTCAGTTTCCTGGTACGACATGCAAAAAATACGTTAACTGTTGGGATGATATAGTAGTAGAACAAGAATGTCCAGAAGAATTACTGTTTTCAAGTAAAGGGTATTGCGACTATCCCCAAAATGTTGAATGTAAAGTTGAAGGAGTGAGTAAAAGTAAGTAAGAAAACATATTTTGATATGATACAGGGTGTGTTTTTGAAAAAACTGTAATGTTCAAACATAAATATTCAGAAATTTCTAGAATGTACAAAAATAATATTTTTAAAAACTACAACTAACCGAAGGAGTCCCTAATTAGATTTTCAAAATATTAAATCAGGAGTATTAAAGTTTATGATACCGAAAAAAGAAAAAATATTCAGTATTAATTAATAAACAAATTAGAGGGGTATTGCAACATTTATTTAATCCCTTACAAATTTACAAAAACCTTCTTTTTCTACTAAAACCTTTTTCTTCTACTCATTCTTCAAAGACTATACGTTCAGATAGTTTCAAAAAAATTGAGAAGATCGCTATCTTTATAAATTTTTTGAATATCTAATTAATTTGTTTATTATTTGCCTCCAGAACAGATATCATTTTGTTGAAATAATTTTAATAATTTGACTGGTCTATTTTTAAACTGTTCAAACGTCTTCCAAGCGATTAAAAGTTCGAGGTAAAATGAAACGTTGTCAGAGTGTAGTTTGCATCTTTATCTAACGGTAGATAATGCCCGAGATACACACTGTCGTCGCAGAATAAAGCGACGTTATTGGCAACAACGCATTTGAAATTTTCTAGGATGTTATTATCGAAGCAATGTCATAGGCGCGCTGATAGGGATTTCATAAAGCAGATACCAGAATTGTTTGTAATAGAGAGGTTAAGTATAACCCGATCTCTCTAATAGTATTAATTTTACAATTACATATTACAACAACTAGTTAATCAATTTCACAAAAAAAATAAATAGAACATCATGGATTGCTTTATCACTTTAATTTCTAACCCAACGCTAACATCACAGAACATGACAAAAAAACTACTCAAAAGTACATATTTACATATAAATTTGGATAATTAAATAATATTGTAGCTAAGTTGTAAAAAGAACTCGAATTTTAGTTGACGTGTAGTTGGAACACGTCCAGCATGTTGCATCAATTCAAATTCATAAGACCAACTCTGTACAATTAATATAACATGTTGCATTAACTCAAATTCAATTCAAAATAACTTTTAAAATATAATTTTGAAAAGGAATATTTACAATTTTCGAAAATTAATAAGATTTTTTTTTAACTTGCAGTTAATCTGGAGTGCCCGCTGGAATTTGGAACGTTCAGAGATAAACATGATTGTGGAATTTATTATAATTGTGTTTCTCATAAAATTGCTGCTACTTACGTATGTCCAGATGGTTTTAAATTTAGCAAGGTACATAAAAAAAGAACCTATATTCTCAGTAGTAATACTATAAGTACTTCAAAATAATCAGGTTATACATCGATAACTTATATAATTATAAAGAGTGTCAGTTTGACAGTTTAAATTATTCTGTCAAACTGACACGATTTGTAATTATGCAAGAAGTTTGAGATGTATAACCGTATTTATTTTGTATTTGATACGATTATTTTTTGAGTAAATTAAGTAAATATCAACAATTTATTAATTTAAATACATATTGGTACAATGAAAATTACAATTATTAATTATTGATAAACGTCAAAATTTGACGGTCCTGTTAGTTAGTGTATTGTTGTCGATGTGGTTACTACGGAAATGAAATTATTGTAAATATTTTTGATTGGTGGAGCTACTCTATGTATAATCAGGTGTTATCGAAATTATACGAGGTAACTTAACTAAATTGAACGTTCTAATTGGTTAAAAGTTATACGAAAAAAATAATCTTAACAAAACACCGAGTCTAATATTAATTTTTTTTGTTGTGCAATTTTCTTAGTCCGGTTCTGGCAGTAAAACTTTTGTCTCAACAAATTTCATTTTTTTTATAGAACTTGGGTGTCTGCGATTATAAAGAAAAAGTAGACTGTAATGAAAATTCTGTCCACAAAACAGAGTTTATTTTGAAGAATTTACAAGGTATGTGTATTTTGTATTGCCTATATTCAGACAGTAAAATGCTTTAAATGAATCTAGTTCTTCGAACACAGAGTCGGAATGACCAGATTCGTTGTAAACATAAATATTTTAATTCTTTTTTAGAAAGCGGAGAGTGTTCAGTAAAATATGGCACATTCAGAGACGTAAATAATTGCAACAGATATTATACTTGTGCATCTTTTAAAATTGTTGCTCAGCATGACTGCCCTTCTGGATTTAGTTTTAATGATGTAAGTAGAAAAATATTAGGTACATATATCGTAAAAAACTATTTACATTTATTTAGTTTAATTTAATATAAAAGATAAATAAAATGCCAGGAACAACTTGAATGAATTAAATTTAGAAAATATGAAATGTACTTTTAGCAAGAAAATTTACTAAAATCTACTAAAATCTACGAAACACTGAAACTATCTTAAATAGTCAACATGTGATGTCTAGACAATCGTTAAATTAAATCGGCAGTGGCGGCTCTTATTAAATAATAATAATTTGAGAGACGATAAATTGGTTGTTCCCACCTTATCGAGACTGAGGCCTCCACGGTCAAACTCATAGTGTAAAAGAAGATAATCGGTTTGATTTTGAACGAAAGACCGAATGCCGGTTGAAAGTACATAATAGGGTGATTCATTTCCGCAAAATTTTGTTTTTCAAACTTTAAATTTAAATAGTCGTACTTAAAATTGATATTTAGAGCTCAAACTTGGTGAGAATTTTTTTCTGTATGTAGATTAATATTTTGCTTGAGCACCGAAAAAAAAAACTTTGCGGAAATGAATTACTCTAATATAGATACATTGAATTTCCAGGCTTGTGAAGCATTGCGGTTACTTATAGGCTATAACACGTAGTTAATATTATTCTCATTACTAGCCCTAATTTTTAAGAACTATTTTATATCGCTTTTTGATTAAGTTTGCAAATTTTTTGAACAATTTATGTAAAAATATTTGGGCCCTTTGCCCCTTAAGTCTGGCCATGTAAAAATATTTGGGCCCTTTTCTCCTTAAGCTTAATATTTGACCTTTTTTATTCTAATATTAAATTCAGATACGGGTTCCATTCAGGATTTCGTTAAAGGTTGTGCTCATCGTTACTTTACCAACCTGTATATTCTTCGTGTAAGATCCACGTTTACTTCAAAACAATTATTTTAATTTATCTATCACTTTCACTTACAATGAATAAACACTCAAATTCAATCATTTAATAATTTTGACTAGATTATTTATAAAATTGTGTTTTGTTGAAACATTACTGACATCTAGGCAACCAATATTACCTACTTGTATTGTTAGTTGCATATGTATGCATCATTTTATTCATAAATAGAAAGTTATATTAATTATGTATTCTCAACGATTTGTAGTGTGTTTATACCGCTTATTAAAGTTATTTAGGTTTCAAAAAGTGGGTTTTTTTTGTCGTGTATAGTGTTTTATATATTTTGTACCGATTAAGAATGGAAAATAAGAAATAAGGATCAAAACAACATTATTACTAGGTTGTAAGTTTAACCAAATTCTATTTTTATAAGTCAGCCTAGCCTGCCCTTCTTTTATATATACTTTCAATAATAATGTATATTATTGATTATAAAACCAAAAAAGGTTCACTTTTATTTGTTTTCTTTTTGCAATTGGTGACATAATGAATTTTTTCTAAGTTTAACATATAAAGTGACATATTTTGTAATCGCAGCAAGTGTCAAAAAGATCTACTTTATGCAACCAGTGGCAGAAAGTAAAACATTATGCAACTGATTACGAAAAGTTGATTATGTCACCAGTTACGAAATTAAAATAAATAAAAATGAATCTTTTTTGGTTTTGAAATCGGAAAATGGAAAAATCGAAAAATTGAAAATCGAAGAATGGAAAAATCGAAAAATCGAAAAAAAGGCAATGAACAGTGACATTTCACATTTGACATTACGTTTAATAACAAAAAAGAAAACGAAAAATAAAAGTTGTAAATTGCGTTTTATTTTTTAAATAATTGAACACCGTTATTGAAAACTGTCCAGATATGTTGAGGGTAACATTTTGACGTACCTACTTCTTTAGGGATAACGGGTAAAAACCGTTTTTTTTAAATTTCAAAAATCAGATCGGCAACATTATCCCTTATTTTTATTATTGCTACTGAAAAATAAAACGTCGTAGGGCAATCAAATACAACAATATTTGATTGAAAGTACCTACAAAAAAATGATGGTGAATAATTTTTTAACCAAACACAATTTTATAAATAATCAAGTCAAAATTAGAAAAAAAATTGTATGTAACACGTTACGAAATGCCGTTTTGTGTAACTCGTTCATTTTGCGAGACCTCGCTCCGCTCGTCCCGTAAATATTTACCCGTTACACAAAATATTTCGAAACCGGTTTCATAATGTTCAACATTGTGCAACTGGTTGCGTAAAGTAGATCTTTTTTACACTTGCTGCGATTACAAAAAATGTTACTATATATGTCAAAATTAGAAAAAAGGCGTTTAAAAACTTTTTTCTACACCCACATGTATATTAGCTCATCTACGCACAGACTGCAAAACGAAAAAGTATGCTATTGCGTTAAATTGAACCAATATATTTTATATCCATTCTAGGTAGTGAGAACACTGCTGGTTTTTAAAATGAATGCCTAGAATAGTGAATCGCTCGCATATTGCTAAAGCGTATACGTTTTTTAGAAAGTGAAAGCCGAGGATAGGTCCCCTAGACGAAACATTTTTTTTTATTTTCGGACTTAAAGTGATCGGAAACGTGGATAGAAGTGTTTAGTGTTCAGTAATTAGAGGGCAACATTTCTCACGTATTTCACTGAATTTATTCAAGCACTAATTTCGTTTATTATTTGCTAAACTTTAGGAATTTCACTTATTTGTACATACTACCTAAAAAAAATTAATTTTTATTTTATGCATTAGGATATTGGAATTTGTGATTATTCCTACAACGTAGACTGCAGCAAAAATCCGAAAGTCTATGAGATTACATCCAAATCACTTCTACAATTACCAGCAGGTAAATTAATAGAATTTTTAATTTGAATATTATAATGACAGAGTTATAACAGGTTCATGATAATTAAGCATAATGCAAATAAGTCTTTTTGTAACATCTCGTAAAAATAGTAAAAAAATTGAGTATTGAAAGACAAAAAGTTGCCGGGTGACGCGTAGCGGAGCGCAGCAATTTGTCGAAAGCGGCAACGAACTTTTCGCTCAAAATGCACAAAAGATTTTTTTCTGCGATGACATTATTTTAATAGATATAAAAACTGAAAATTTGTCATAAGTAGTGTATAATCTACGTTATTCACGAAAAAAGGAGTCGATATTCAAAGTCAATGTTAACTTGGATAATGAAATAATAAAACATCTACGTACAAATAATTTGCAAATTATTTATAAAAAAAATAATATTATTATAACTAATTTAAATTAGGCGAGCGACAAAGCTGTCAAGTTTTCCGCTCGGCGGCGATCGATCACCGACCTTGATATTAAACTGGATGGCAGGGATCCCAGATGTACTGAGCCTAAATTCGTGAGCTTGATCATTGATCATTAAAAAACCGTGAGAAATCGAAAATAGATATAGTATTTTCGATTTTTATGTACTTTGTTCGAGCGAAGAGCAAGGAATGGCCGTCTTTTAAATAAATAATTAGCAATAACACTATCGATATTATGGATAGTGTGTTACTATCGAAAACTATCAATTATTTTAAGTAATCATCGATAGTTTAAATATACATGTTTTTAGTAGTTTTCAAATTCATTTTCACGGAATTCGACCAAAGAAAAACTAAAATTAAAAATAAACCAAAAATGCCCTCAGCAAATTCAGCACTAGATGATAAATCTGTTTTAAAGATTGCTATAACTATTTTTTTTAACATACGCACGCCACAAATGTTACTCCTGCCTCCACTTGTTTTCTTATGTCTCTGCGCACCTACTGATTCTTGTTTTTTTTTACATTTTTTTATTTCAAATATTTTTTTACTTTTCTATACTACGTATCAACCGTTGAATCTACGTTGGTATAGTTTCGATAGTACTATAGATAGTAACTCTTGAGACTATTGGAAAATGTCGATAGGGCCGAATATGGAAAGTATCCAACCACTTGCTGGGGACTGTCAAGTGTAAAAAATTTTATCTACGCCTCTAATTGTAAAAATAAACGGTAATTATAATTTTTGTCCAAGACTTAATTTAGAGTTAATGTTCTCCACCACTGCCTACATGTCGATTGGCGACACATCGAAATGTTGGGTGGCGGTTCTAACAATTGAATAAAAACGTTTTGTTTTCTTAGCAACGATAATATTGTCATAAACAATAAGTCCAAAATAATTAATTTTTAAAGTATTTTTGCATTTTCTAGTAATAAAATGAGTGAATCGGAAAGTTTGCCATCTAATACTGAAGAACAAACTTTAAATATAGTTACTCGTTACTTTAGATTGTGACAGTAATTTTTTATTAAATTTAAATAGATTTTGACATTGACATTTTGACTTTTTTATTTGATTGATTGAAAAGCAGTGAGATAAAATAAAAACGCGTGTGTTAATAAACTTCTTATATTACGCAAAATGAGTGGGTTAAGAAGTTCTTATCTCACGGGGGTAGATAAAATAATTTTTCTAATATAATATTTCTTTCCAATAAATTATTTGTACATAGTTTGATGTTTTTATTTATTAGTTAACATTGACTTTGAATAGCAACTCCTTTTTTTATGATTAACGTTGAGATATGCAACACATTATACACTACTTACGACAAATTTTCAGTTTTTATATCTGTTTCTTAAAATAATGTGATCGTAGAAAAAAATCTTGTGTGCATTTTGAGCAAAAGTTCTCTAGAGAAATAGTCAATATTTGGTCTTCTGAAATAGTCGTCCCAAATATAATACGACCTTGATTAATATTCTGCTATTTTTATTGTTGCTAAATTTTACATTTTACAATTTGATTCTACAAAATTTTGGAATTAATAATCAAACATTATATCTCATCAAAATAATATTAAAATATTCTCGAGATTTAGATTCAACAAATATAGCTGACTATTATCAAGGTCTTGGTATATAACCCTTGATTATTTTTTGTATTTGTCCGTTCTAAGACCTCTATTTTATTAAGAACGTTTTTATTCATAATTAATGTCCAATTTTCTTGAAGTAGATAATATACGAGTAGCCTTATCTTCGTGCTTCCGTTCACTTTTGTATTAACTTAAATATCTTTCGCCAACACGTATGTTTATTTTTGCTATTCTTTGGTTTACTTCACTTTCTTCTTGTTCTTCTTCCTCTTCTTCTTCTATTTTTTCTTATTCTTCGATTAGTAGAAATAAATTGTTTTTGGTCAAGCTCAATTTGGTTATACCGGTAGTTAACCTTAACTTCCTTATTTTAAATTAACATCCTGTATATTATTTCAAATGAGAATTTAGATTTCTTTAAAAAACCTTCCAATATAGGGTTTGTCTATATTATACTGAGTGTTTACCTAGATTTGGCCTTGGCCATTTTTAATATCAAATCGTATCCAAATTAGCACTCTGTATCTTTTAACATAATTTCTAAATTTCTAAATGTTTCAAAAGCTGTTAATTTTGGGTATAGGAAATGTTTAATAAAACTTGAAGAAAATAAGATCTTTTCTATGTGTAAAATCCATTTAAAAACGATTGAGAAAATCGTGATTATTATCGAACTGTCAGATTCAACCAACTTGTTAGCTGTTGCCTAGCATCGGTGTCGCAGCTATCTTCCTTAAATATGTTTCCAAATTAATGCCAATATTATTATTATTTGAAACTTTTATAAAATTGCTAATACTATAGATTGTGAGTAAAATCGTATATATGTTATGTTGGGAATGTTGTGTTAATACACTGCGACCTAAAAGATCTATTGTATCCCTTTCTGTCGCAATATGCCCCAAGGAAATGTCTCAATGCCTATAACGACCCTTCCAATCCTATCTTCTCAAGGAAGTGTAGGATTTGGAGTGGCTTCAAGTTAGGTAAATCTCCTTCTTCTATTTGTTATCCTCCTAGGTATAGTGCCCTTGGATTCTGGAGTGCTACTCTCAGTTTACTAAGGCGTCTTTTTAATCGACAATACCCGGTAAGAATCCCTGTTACAATACGTGTGCGGAAGGCACACACGACCGTTTCTTTGTTTGTCAGTGCATCCTGGATTACGTCAGTCAACTGTACCAGGGCAGTTTCTGTAGATCTTCCTGCTTGGTACGCGTGTTGGTTGTGGTGGAGTGGCACCCTCTCCAGGACTTCCGTTCTGATATAATTATCAACAGCCTTCTATATTGTTTTTAATACAAAGGATGTGAAGCTGATTGGTCGGAAGGATTTACCACTTTTATTATTATTTGAAACTTTTATAAAATTGCTAATATTATAGATTGTGAGTAAAATCGTATACATACCTTTGCACCTCGATAATCTATCTAGACGCTCTGCTCAGATGTAATAGAGTTCTTCCCTGATCGTAATATAATATACTATTGTATCACTCTGTATGGAAACAACACTACATCAAAAAACAATTAAAATACAGGACATTTAGAAACAAACAGCGTTCAGCTTGTTTAATTTGATAATAAAAATGGCCTCTAATCTAATAGTCAAACCATATGTTGAAAAAAATACCCAAGGAGAGTAAATTTTAAATTTGAAACAATATTCATCAGGGTATTTAAAATTAGGAAATTTACGTTAACTTCCAGTATATATTTGGAAGTAGTGCAGAATCCCAAATATTTTATTTCAATTGGGCTTGACAGATAGATATTTCTTCTCTTGTTGGTTCTGCGATCTAATTTTAATTATTATTCCGTCTTGGAACTCTACATTCTCCTCTGTTCCTTCGTTTAATATTTCTTCAAAGTACTGTTTTCACCAATTTCTCTAATTCAGTTTTTCATCTTTATATTTATGTTTTTTTTTTGGAAATTCAGAAATATATTATGAAATGAATTTCGAAACCCACAAGGTGAAATCAAACTAATGAACAATGCTCCGAAAAATGTAAAAACTTCACGTGTCTCGAGCTGGAATCGAACCAGCCATACCTAACTTTTACGTGCTATTATCTTGACCACTCGACTATCAGGGCTATCTTTATAGTCCACTGTTCTTGATTATTTTCTTGCCGTTATTCTTAAGGATGTTGATAATTATTATTAATTAAAAAATAAAACCAAAACTTAAATATTAATTTATTTTTAGAATACAGAGAACGTGTAAATAGCTGTATACCTGGTTCGGTATTTCGACTTGATTCTCAATGCACAGTTGCCTGTTTGTGTAGACAGGGACTTGCAGAGATTGTACGTTGTCCAACAGGATATGCTTACGATTCCAGGACGGATAAATGCGTTTTATCGCATCTGGCCAGGTGTTAATGTAAGTACTAAATTAAAAAAATCATCTTATTTAATGTACACAAAAAAAGAAAAACCATTTCAAGGTATCTATTCGCTCCGTGCGCGACAGCAGCGCCAATTTGTTTTGGTATTAAAGGAGTATTTCTGCCTATACTGACAAATACAATTTTTAATAGAATTCGTAAATAAAAAGTATATATGTTAGTTTTAATAAAAGTATATGGATTTATAAAGCAATTAAAACATTAATTTATTATTATTATATATTTTTAACGCTTAAATTAAAGAAAATTATGTGTAATCATTAAAAATCAATAATAAAATATAGGCAGGCAACAGTATTTACTGGAAAATGTATGAGAAGTTGCCTAAGTCTAATAAGTTGTCATTGAAGAAACCATTTATAATAGCGTGAAGTTAAAATGTATAAAAAGGATCGCTACTTATATTTTCATTTTTGTTCTAAAGAAAACATAGAATGAATGATTAAAATTGGTTTCCGATCAGTAAGTCACAAAATTGCATACCAGCCAAATATTATAATCAACGGCAGAAATCTTGAAATCTAGTCCTTGCTGAATGAACATTTAAGAATAAAGGGATATTAAAAAACATCGTAAAATGATAATTTATTGTTTATTTAAAAACTTTCTTGTTTCTGATGTCTACTATTTCCAGCATTACTGATATTATCACAAAAATAAAGGTAATTTTTCTTCTTATTGTACACCTATCCATTTATTTCTTTGATTTAATTTCCACTTTGTTAGTGAAATTTGTTATATAAGTTTCACTGTTTTTTTTTTGCTAGTATTTGTACAATTTTCAACACAGCAACTCCGGTTGCTTATTGTGTTGTTTTTACCTACTTTTTTGAAAAAAAGTAAAATGTATACGTGTATTTGATATGCCAAAATTACAAAATATCCCCCTAAAATGCACGAATTATCCGCAGCTAGCGCTAGTGTCGCTTTTGCTTCCCTTTCCATGACTTCGCACGGAGCGAATACTATACATACAGGAATCCAAGATAGTCTTCATCAAAATCCGTATACCACGTGACCAAATTGATGTCTATGTTGGCTAAAAATAACATTAATAACTTCAGTAGTAACTCTAAATCAATGTCACAAACGTATTTGACAGAACTGATTTTTAAGTTGTCATAAAAGTCACTAAGAATAACCCTTATCATTAGATTTCATATACAATCATGTGGGATACGAGTTCTGTTTAAGACACTCTTTTTATCCTATCTAACCAATGTTTTTCAATTTTATAAACCAAATATTCTTATCCTATTTTGAAATGTAATTTTTTTGAAAATTCTTTAAAATCTATAATTACACTTTGGTTTCAGGTAAACAGAAAACTATCGTCGAATTTAAGAAGACTGATTAAGAATAATTGAAGACATAAACAACGTTTATGCAACTTTATAAGTTTTGGGTTATAGGTGGTGGGTCGAATTATTTATTTTAGATAATAAAAAGCAAATACTTTAAAGTGAAAATAAAATGTTTCTTACTGATTAGTATTATTTTTAAACTGTTCAAAAGGTTCTTTTTTAATCTTAATAGGTACCTATAGGTATCCCATTTAAATGCCCACACAAATCCTGCACGTAAGAAATATTGATACCTATTTACAATCACGAAGCAATAAATAATAAATAAATTTAGGTACAGGTTGTATTTCCATAAATAATAATCCTAAAATAGATTCCTAATACATTTAAATTGCAGTAAGTGGTCATAAAATGAAAAGAGCCGTATTTGTTTCAAGTTATAAAAGTTTATGAGAGGTAGGCACCTTAGGTATATAACAAGTAATTTAAAACAAATAGGTCACTGACTGATACCTGACTAACACCTACAATCCTACCTCTTTGAATAGGTAGGTAATTGCTGAATGACGAGACACAAAGTTGTTTATTATTATTATTAGAAATTTAAAATAAATATACAGGGTTTTAAAGAAGTTATACCTCACGTTTTAAAGATTTACTTATCAAAAAAGCAAATTGGGTCAATTAGAATTAATCTTAATTGAAGAGGTTTGCAATAATAATGAAATAAGTGAAATTTTTTTATTAGTCTAGTTTATTTTAAACTTTAAAATTTCAAAGTAAGTATTTTAGCTAAGATGTTAAATAATGGTGGACATTATATTCTTTCTAAAATAGTAAGAGGTGATGAAACACACATAGGTACTTATGTAAATCATCTCTCGATTTTAAAAAAACACGGACAATAATTTTAAAATTGTAACAAAAAAATATTCTTTAACGATTATTGAAAAATGTATATATTTCCCACTTTGGGATGTAATAAATGCTCGCGTAAGCATATCAGATATTCAATAGATGACAATTAATGCACTGCGCACCTGGGAAACATGGTAACCAAATCCTAGTGGCAAGTAAAGTTCCCAGTCCAAGAAGCGAAACTAAATGGGCGATTCGTGGACAAAAACTGACAAGTTTTATCAGTGTTTTAGAGGTGGTTTAACGTCAAATATAGCTGTCAATTTATGTAGAGCAACATTTGGTATATTATTATTAGCGTCTTGTGAAAATTGCAGCATAGTTAAGTAGTTGTATTTAACTAAGTAGTAATCAGAATGTAGGTAGATAGTTTTAAAATTTGTATTACAAAAAAAATACATTGCGTTATTCGTAAATTTTATTAAACGTTCTTGCATCTGGCTGTCAATGTTTTTTTTTTTTTTTTTTTTATTTCTAAATCAGTATTACCAGATAATGATAATTTACGCCTACGTATTATGCATCGTTTAATTTCTTAGTCTTTTATTTAAATATGTTATTTTTTTGATTTTCAAACTATTCGAATTAAAACAGTAAATAAACAACAATACAAAACAATAATTAACACATATGACAAACTCACTTCGAGGAATCAAGTCGCTGCTATCAAGATGCAATCGAAATGCATTTAGAGCTACCTACAGTACTTTTGAATATGTAACGTGTAGAGGGTGGGTTATCCCACGGCACTTATTAGGCCTCACAAGGCCCATTGTATATCCTCCTAAAATGATAGGCACTTCCTAGCTCGTGAGACAGCCTACAGATTGAAAGTAGTTGACAACGTCGCCAAGAGGTGATTCCCTCATATCGGCTGGTGTTAGCAATACTCGCTGAAAACAAATTTTCTAATAAATGAGAGCGACTGGCAATCGTAGAGGATATGTTCAATGGTCTCATCTTTTTGTTCGCACCACCTGCAGGGTGCGGATTCTGACAGCTCCATGATATGGAGATGCCTCCGTACTTGGCAATGGCCAATCAGGATGCCTGTAATCAGACGCAGATGTTGTCTAGTAATAGCCAAGTATTTGTTTGTTGTAGTGTTGTCAGGATAACTTAAAAGCTCCCTGGTAACTCAGCAGTTTCTTGTTTCATCCCATCTTTCCATCAAGTTCACAAGGGAATATTCTTTAATTAGGTCTGTCACTACCAATGTTGTCAGTCCAATTGAAGGGTCAGGTCTGAACAGGTTGGTTGGCCTCCTTTTTGGCTAGTGAATCAGCAAGAAGACTACCTTTCGATGTGACGTCACCTTTGATTCATCTTAAAGGTACAGTTACATCTGACATTTATTGCATGATATTTATGTCTGACAGTTATTTAGTCCAGTGTAAACACACAAAAATTTCTCTCGGACATATATTATCATAGGTTCGGCGGCATTGTTCATAAGTAATGTATGCTCTTTTGAGCAGGTGCTACCTACCCAGACAGCACACCAAATCCTTTGGATATCTACTGCACATCCCAATATCCACTGAATGTCCAGTCCATGGTGGATATCTATTTTATATCCATGATATGTGATTTATAGACATGCAAATGTCCATAAATAATAATAATTATATAGCAAATAATTAAAATATACGCCATTGTGGCTAATAGTACCGTTCAGATATTTAAAATTAATTTTTTTAAGGTGTATTCAATATCCCATGGACAATATGGACATCCACTAAATATATCAAAGTCTAGGCGCGAACGCAAACCATCGTTGATATCCACTAGATGTTATTTCATTTTGCTTACTAAGTATAGATGGCGATACCACTTTCGCATCTACTCATGCTTGACCCGCCGTAATTGAATTCGATCGAAATTTTTGTTCTATTCAGACTCCATTAGAGACTGGAGTCGAAAATTTCCATTTATTACTGAAGAGTTCTAATAAGGATGACTTTCTTCTTAGTGGGCAAAATCAAAGGCAGAGTGTTGAAAATATTTTGACTTTTGAGTGTTGAAAATATTTTTTATGTCTGCTATTTTCTTTCGACGTTATTCAATAATCATTGGTTACTTATGAACCTCTACTAGAGATAAAATATGTTGCTGAATATCCGAATATCTTCTATATCCTGGGATATAGACGGACATTTGGTTGGATATCCATATTGGATATATTGAATATCCACAAAATATATTTTGTGGATATCTCTGGGATTTTTTGTATTTTCTAGAAGATACCCATTAGATATTTTAATGGATATCCATTAGGATATCTTCTACATTCTGGATATAGACGGACATTTGGATATCCATATTAGATCCATGGAATATTTCTGATATCCTGTGGATATATTGGATATCCACAAAAGATATTCTGTGGATATCTCTGGGATTTGGTGTGTTGTCTGGGTAGGTACTTCACATCTGTTGCAAAGTTTTGTTTTATGTTTAGGAGCTCAGAAGGACCAGGTCATCTGCTTTCGCTATTGTGTAGTTACTGTCATCATTGTACCTATACAGTACTTATTTCGTTATTAAAATAATCTACTCGTATTTGACATAATGAACATATTAAGAATTTTCTGACTTTCATTGTTACTTTAGTATGTGTTTAATTCTTATGAACCAAACGACAAAAACTGATTAATTTTTATACGTTTCTCAGTGTATTAAGTTCCCTTGTTTTGGTACATACGAAAAATCATTCAGTTTCGCTTCTTGGGTAGGTATTCTTTGCCAGTACCATATAAAGGCATTGACGTAGATAGCCTATTTTCTCCAGAGGACTTAAGTCCCTGAAAAGGATGAGGTTCAGTAACCCGTGAAATTTCAGCCACTAACATTTTCTTAAATTATTTTGCTCCAAAACGCCCACTAACAAAAAGGCTGCTGTTTTGATTTCGAAGGAAGTACAATTAAACTAGGTACTAACAAAAATAATCACAAACCTATGCAAACAGTCTAATGGTATTAGGACTAGAGACTAAAGTCGAATTTGCGATTTTTCTGCATGACAAACTGGTTAAGAATATCTTCTAAATTCAAATTACGCATAATTTCACTTTCTATGTTAATCAAGGATAAATTAGAAAATCGATCCTGCGACATGCGACTTCGTAACCAATTTTTAATTATTCTTCGCATTGTCGAAAAAGATCTTTCGCATGTCGAAGAACTGATTGGTACTATCAGTGACTTGCAATAATTTATATAAATTTGGAAAAGTCTCTTTTTTTTGCAATTGTTTGTATTTCATTCAAACTCCACTCAGAAATCTCAGATGTTAGACAAATTTTTGCTACTAGCATTTTCTCTTTCAAGACATCTTTGTTTATGGCAAATGTCTCTGGCTCCATCATAGGCTTGAGCAACAATAGGCACCTTATCCAAACCAACTTTTTCTAAATGTGTTATCAAAAGTTGACTCAAGCGTTGCTGGGAATAATCCAGGAATTCTAAAAATCTATCTTTAATTTCGAGACCCACGACATATCTTACACATACAGATTATTGGTCCTTAGAACATATAGCTTCATCTGCCAATAATGCAAACATTTCACATTCTTTTATTTCATTTATAATTGATTGTTTAATCAAATCTGCACTTATATTAATTAATTCGTTTTGTATTTCAAGACTACTTAGATTATAATGTTTGGAATATATACAGGGTGTCCAGAAACGCTCTTCAAAGAATGAAACCACGAAATCTAGAGCTGATTTTATGACGATTTATCCCAAATTACCTTGATCCAAAAATGCTTCCTAAGGGAGCTAGAACTCTTAGCGCTCTAAAATCGAATTGAAATACCTTCAAATCGGATTTTTATTAAATGATATTATTCTGTACATTTATTTATTTATTTATTTGAATCTAACCAATCAAATTTCATAAATAAGATTTTTTTAATAAGCGGCCCGTTTGGGTGGGGTATTGGGTATTTTTATACAATTTTTTTTTTATCTTTCGAAAAGTCGCCATTTTGAAATGAAATTTCGTAATTTTCACACAAAAATGGTGCTCTTATGTGAAGTCTCCATGACCAACCGTTTTCGAGAAAAATCGACTTAAACTTTTCATATCTTTACATACGTTTTCATTGATTAAAAAATAAATTTCAAAATTATGATAAGGTGGCCATGGAAAATAAACAAAATACTTAAGGATTGTATAAATACATATTAAACTGTTTTTATCCAAACTTTAGGTAGGTACTCAAAAAAATGTTTTCAATTAATGACTGTGCTTTTCTGAAGTAAAAAAATAAATTCATGCAAAAATTAAAGTTTCTGTTGATAAAATTTGTTTAAAAAAAAATAATAACGAAATGATAAC